GAAATCTAAAATAACGCAATACACGGGAAACTGTTGATCTGGGTACTCCATGCATTCACTGAATTTGTCGCGTCGAAATATGAGGATCCTCGGCAATTACAGCACGAACCCCAAGCGCAATATGCTCTCTTGGGCCCGTCCGTCGCCTCTTCCTTCTTAAGTTACCTCCTTGAGCTCTTATCGTTAGAAGTTCAATATTCCTCCTAGTAGGATGACGAGCGTCCGGATACCTTTCAGCGTACAGCCTCGCTGCAGCCTTGTAATTGTCGTGACATTCTCCCAGAATCTTGATCATGTTAACTATCTCTATCATGGCGTGTAGTCAGCCATTATCTGTTATAGGTAGATTTTTAGGGAATATTTAATCTTAAATTAATAATTTAATTTTTATTTAATCTGAAATTCAGAAAGTCAATGAAAACCTAATGATGAGAAGCTTTGAGGAGCTGTAAGAATTTACAAGCCTTACCAATAGAACGATAACGAAGCAAAAAAATGTCTTTTAGCGAGAAATAAAGCATTTACGAGAAAAATATTCTGATTCTAATATTCTAATTCCTCGGATAAAATGTAATGGTTACCTGTAAATAAACATTTGACCTTCAAAAAATCTTGATGAGCTTCAGATGACATTGATGGTTCTTAAGCAAGTTCGTGGTGAAGGTCACTACAGTATGTCCCTCATTGAATCTAGTAACATTCATCAAAATCATTCTTAACTGTGGGAAAAATTCTAACCTCAGTTTAAGGTAGAGATATCTAATGATTTTTTCTACTTTTTTAAAGCCGTTTACAACAAAAATTTGGGATTTTTTCAAAAAATGATTCATACAAAAAGTGTTTTTCTTTTTTAGTAGAATCCGGATCCGCCATAAAATATGCACATTTCATATGAAAATTTGGTCTTGACTTTCAAATGACCTTGAAGGTCATGTTCAATGTCGCAGCTGAAATAGCCAAAAGATGCCCCCCTTCGAACCGAACAAATTTTATTTCAAACATTTTTTTCTCAGAGCAAATTATTAACCTGTTTTAGGGGGTGGTAAATTAAAATGGGACACCCTGTATATGACCATAATATTAAGAATATCATATATTTATAATGTTACATTATTTGAACTATATTTCTCCTTAGCAGCAGCAGACAACGACTGCAGAGAAGGTTAGAGAGAGCGCCGGCAGACAGAGACCGCGTGCGCGTGTAGGCTTAGCGACTTGTATGACGAACCGCGCGCCGCGCGCCGCGTGACGAAGGGCCAGCAATTAGCCGATAGCTCGCGAGCCATGCAGAGGCATTCATCCGTGCGTGCGTTTTATATCAGTTTTTCTTTGTGTATCGCCTCGTGGCAACGGAGAGACTTTTGACTGTGATAAGTTAGTGAGGTGCAACTGTGCGTGCAATACCTCCTTTCCTTTGCGACAAGTGACAGCACAGTCAGGCGAATTTTGCGATCTTGCTGAAATGTAATTGAAGGGCTTCGATTAATGTGAGTACCGACCGTTCCTTAGATCTCTCTCTCTCTCTCTCTCGCTTTGCCTATCTCGCCACTCTCTCTGAACCGCCCTGTACACTGACTCGTACATAAACTTTATATATATTCGTACACTATTGAAACTGCATGGCTTTTCTTTTAAACTACCCTTTCCTACCTATCACTTCCTTCAACTTTCGCCATTTAAGCTGCGTGACCCACAACGCTCTCCGCGGGCCAGTGGCGATCTGACCTACCGGGCCAGTCTTGCGTAGCAGAAAACGCAGTGCCGCGAAGAGCTGCATTTGTGCCAGCCATTACTCAATCTCGGTTTAATTAATATATTGTAGCGGTCTAAATCCCCGTTACAAACTGAAGAGTATTACGGCGAAGTAGCAATGACATTCAACATTCATTAACTTCTTCATTTAGTTCAAAGTGTGTTACATTGGGGTCCGCTGTCCGCACACAATAGATGTGTGTTTGAATCCGACAATGGAAAAATTGTTCGGATGGTCAAAGGAGCTAAAGGAGTATTGCATCAAATTTTTCGGTGCATAGAATACAAAAATAGTGCAATAAAATTAGAGAAACATATCTTGAAAAAATATGAAGATTCGCCGGTATTAGAATTTGTATCAAAATTGGAAATTACTGTCACAAACAAATCAGTTTCTTTATCCGAGTGTAGATATTTTGGTAAACCATTTTTTACAGTTGTATCTATTGTTCAAGCGTTCAATAATCGAGATATGTCTTTAATAAACTTAAATAGAATTAAATCGTATAATAAAATGTTAAAAAATTACTGCTTATTTACTTCCATTACGTTGAAAACGATTCGATTTAATAACTGTTTTGCGAAAATAAAAAATAGAAATATAGTTCAAATTGTCAAATTTATAACTGTTGAGCATTTAAAATTAGAGTTAACGTTATATAAGTCCGTTCATACGGAAAAAATATTTCTGCAATGTACACACATAGAAAAAATTGTATATTCACGAACAAGTTAACTGTATTTAGACGCGCGATATAATTTCGAATGTTGTATGCATAGATATACCATCTGGCCAATATATTAGCGGAGTATCTAATAATCTTTATTATTAACTAATTGATCATATATTAGTTTTACGACTAGTTTAAGTTATCATGAAGTTTTGTATTTGCGTATTGTTTTAATAAATGTAAAGAAATTTAATGTAATATTGATAATTTTTTCTCATCTGACTGCAATAGCACTTTAGCGTACAAAAATCTGTATTAATATATTCATTTATATACATTATTACTGTAGTAAATTATATATATTATGTAAATTGTTAATATTTTATAATTTATCGAACTTACATGTCAAATAAATTACCGCGTTCATAGATTATTCTGACTTTTCTGTACTGAATATTACAATTACAATTTTAATCATCACTTCCTAAGCTAATTTTGAAAACAAAATAAGAAATGGTAACCTACAATGTTTATTTGCAAAATAAGCAATCTATCATCAATCATTATTTATATTATTTTCATTAATATCATATTTATAAGTGTTGAATCAGTTCTGATTTTGCTGTGATTCTGTTCTGATTTTGTTTTGATTAGTGCTCTGATTTTGCTCTAATTTTACTCTGATTCAGAATTACTATTTCAGACAAAATCAGAACAAAATAAGAACAAAATCAGAGCAAAATAAGAACAAAATTAGAGCAAAATTAGAACTGATTACAGAGCAAAATCTGTTCTTATTCAAAGCATATTTTTTAAATAGAGTATAGTCAACTAACAAGCGGATCACTTATTTCAAAATTGTTTTATTATCAAAAAGTATTTTTTCTTCATCCCTTTGTCGAAAGTGCTTGCTATCTGCTGCAATTTCGGATCAGAAAGTATGGCTTTGGTGCACTCTTAGAGAGACTCTTGCGGCCTCTAGCGACAGAGCGCAGACAACAATGCAGAAAATAGTGCAGAAAATCTGAAAATCTAGGAATTACGGTTTCTCTTCATGCTAAATATAATGGTCCAGAAATTTTTTCAGATGACTCTAAGGCATATCTGATAATCTTAATAGACTATAATTATGGTAATCAGCACTATTCGGTCATATGTAATACATGGGAAATCGAATGTTAAAATTCGAGTTGTTAATTTATTTATAGATTATAAGTTTAATTCTAAATATATGATATACGTTTCTGACATAATTTTTTGTGTAGAATGCAATAGTACTATTGGTTTCATAGTAGAATTAAACTAAAAGGCGATAATAATTAAAAATCAACAAAAAAATCTCGTTTTTTGCTTTTAGTTCATTCCAATTCAATCTTACGATAAACCCAGTAGCAGCATCGTAATCTACATGAAAAAATTCGTCGAAATCATGTATGATACTTTTATTGTCACACTATTGCATCACGAGAAATCGACGTTTAAAGTACCAACCTTCGATTTTCCATGTATTCGTATTACAGATAGGCAGGCGAAGATTGGGAGTTTAGTCGCCGCTTTCTTAGAATGTAATGGGTCTAATAATAAAAGTATTATACATGTTTTGTATGTATTTTTTAACGTAGAACATGATGGTGTTACTAGTATTGAAGCTAAAAAGAGCTAAAAGCGAAAAACTTGATTTTTTTAGTGGTTTTTAATGGTTTTTATTTGTTTTTTTTTCGTCCCCGCGCACCCGTTTTAAAAATCTGAAAAAATTCGGCAATGTTCTTTGAGTAATAATATATAACATATCTTTTTTTAGAGATACGTTTGTCTTTGTTTTCGAATAATCGAATTTTTTAATTTTCCAACTGCCCTAAAAATTTGAAATTCGCGTGAAAAAAAATTTGGCGTTGATAGATTTGTAGCTTTTTAAAAATCCTACAACTTTTATGCTTACAATTTTTAAGTATCTCCACAACCGACCGAGCTATTGTCAAAAAACCAAAAAACACAAAATAGTGTCCTATTTTGCCCCAGGTTGGTCTAGGGTTCTAAAAATTTGGGGGTAAGGGTTTCATTATATGCCGGACATAATGGCCGAGTCACTTTGTCTGAAGCGTCAAGGGCATTTTTAACTGTCTTAATGGGCCTTTAAAATAAAATTTTTCGTTTGATAATTAATTATTAGCATTAGCAGGTTTTTACAAAGTGACGTCATTATTATCGAATATATAGTTATATAAATGTTATAAACATCTAAATTTGATATATTAATTTGACAGAATATATGCTATTTGTCATATATATTTGTCATATAACCATCCATAAAATTGTACTTATGCGAAGTTATATTATCGATCTAATATAAGATTTTCAGATTAATTTAAACAAGATATCTGTGTAACTTTATAAAATAAAATATAAACAAAATTTATATAACGTCAATAACGACAACTCTGACTTTTACTTGATAACATTTTCGAAAGAGATAAAAACATATGTCATTCATCAAGAATAATCGATAGCTGAATTTTAAGAATTATTATTATGTCAAATATTTAATACATTTAAGACAATACCAGTAATGAAATTTAATGTAAAATAATATAATTAATGGGTTATGGAATACTCATATATGCATAAGAAATTCTTCTTATAGTCAAATTCTCTAAATTAACTATGCTAGCTTATAGTGCAGAGATGTAAACATTTTAGAAATTTGAAATTCATGTGGGATTTTGGCTAGCCAGTTCTACTTAAGATAAAGAATAACTAATGAGTCAGCGTTTGCAGCATAAATGGTTATCAGGCCAGCAATCGTGTCTACATTTGACATGGACCTCATGTCATTTCACGTCTTCCTCATTAAATGGAGTGGACAGCTGAGACAGTAGCTCTGACTGTTCGTAGGTCTCACGCTTAGACCGAAAGCTTGCAGTCAGATTGCTGAGCCAACCTTGTTGCGATGGTTGGTGCTGATCATGAAGAGAGTCGCTATTACTATTGCTACGTGTACCATCAATACTTATGCCTAATTTTAATCTTGAGAACAATCCTGATAATGATTTTTTGGGCTGAATAAGTGAGTCTGTCATAACGTTGCCAAGATGCTGATTAACTTTTGGTTTGCTGGATTTATTTCGTCTGTGAGTTGTGTGTATGTTCTTGGTAAGTATAGAATCGAGACTACCAGTGTGCTGCTGAAATTCATCTGATTTACTAACTTGTTCGAATGTGCCTAGTAGATATTGACCCAGATCGCTCTGTTTAGTAATCTTTGATATATCTTCCATACTTGCTGAGCTTTTACGAATCTCCATCACACCTAATAAAAACAAATTAAATTTTTTAATAAGTTTTCGTTAACTAGAAATTAGTAAGTAATACTCTTAAAAGTCTACTCTTGGAAAATTAATATTAAAAAACTTTTGAAAGATTTTACATGAATCATTATTCTAGTGAAGAGAATAAATTAAGTTTATAATTAGATTTGTTTTTATTCTACTATTAGAATCTAAATTAGCTTTTGTTATATCCCAGCCATAATCCCACGATACGATTCGAGATCCGAACGTGCTCTAATTGCGAATTTAAGTAAAAGCCGATTTAAGCATCTGCCTTTTTGAAAAGTAGAATCATCTACTGAATAAGAAAGTTTTTAAAAAAATTTTGTGACCGGGTTAAATGATAATAAAATGGAAACTATGCCAGCGTCTAAACTCAAAGCATGGATCAGCTTTGACGAACGCCTGCGACTGGACATTGAGCTAGCCTACAAACGAACCTAAACGAATGCGATCTATAGCATAAAATGAATTGATAACCTAATATGTGGAATATTAGAAACAAATTTTTTTTGCCACTTTTAGCAAAACGCAAATTCGCATGGAAAACTCAGCGATATAAAACGTATCTGATTTTCTCACAATTGCGAAGAGTAAACGTTGTGTGTCACGGCAAAAATCCTAGCTTCCATTTAAAATCGATCATATGACGGAGTTTCAACTTAAGTTAGAAATTGCAATTTTATAAATTGAAAAGTTTAAAGTATTGCAACGGTAGTCGATTCAATTAATCGACCCGTTCGTGATTCTATTACTCGTGTGTTAGTTCGAACGATTAAGAGAGAGAGAGAGAGAGGGCGCGCGAAAGTTTGAAATAGGCAGTTAAGCCTCAGCTGTTTTCGCGAGAATACCGCCAAATTGTTTCGCACTGTGTTTCGCCGTGTCAATCAAAGTTTTCTGGGACTATTATATACGTGCGTGAGTGCAACAGCATTGTAGCGGCAGCAAGAAACAGCGTTTAGCAACAGCAATAAAAGCAGCAGCAGATTTGAAGAGAAGCAGAGCAGCTGATCTATTCGAGGAGCACTGTTGATTCTACAACAATTACGGCTGATCACCGTAATTGCACCGCAGGGTAGGTGCACCTCCCTGTATTGTTGCGTGACAAAATACGTTCGAAAGTATTTTGTCAATCGCGATCTTGAATTTTTTTGTATTCGCGCGTTAGTTTTCGTGGCAATTTTCAAATTCTCGCTCTCTCTCTCACCGAATATTAATAATTAATTGTAAGTCCTATTCGAGTGCGTTAGTCTTTCGGCCCATAAAAGACTGTAGTTTTTGTTAAATAAACTTTGTTAATTTTATTCGCCGTTTACGTCATTTCGTTTCCCATTCGCTTAATAGCTCTATAAAGGCTTAAGTCTTAATCCGATTTGGTCTAGGGGATTAAGCGGATTAGGCAGTAAGTCATTCATACTGAAAATAGACTGAGTGTCACAAGTCAAGTGACTTAAGGTGAGTTCAAATCGGATGGAAAGAAGACACTGAAACGAAATCATCAGACGTAAAGGCGAATACACGTATAACTATACGTGTTTAACGGAGCAGCGGTTAGCTCTGCATCTTGGGAGTTTGTGCTTAAATAAATTTCTCATTCTTGCTAGATAACCACACCGTTACATGGTGCCCAACTGGTACTAAGACCCGTTTCGTGCGAATAGGATTGTGCGTCGAAGGTAATCGACGCATGAGAGAGAGAGAGAGAGAGAGAGAGAGAGAGAGAGATGATTGCGCGAGGGCTTAGGAAAGTTTGAGCGGGTGGAAGCGCGAGATCGTGAGCGGTACGCCTTCTGCAGGGGAAAAACGGAATCACTTCGACTTTTTTCGTATAAATTGTTAAGTTTATTGTAAAAAGGGCGAAAGCGGTAATAAATAGTAAGTCGAAGTGATTCTAGGTCGTTTTGAGTAATTAGGTGTTAGCCCGTTTGAGCCATAGTTTGGTGGATAAAGGGGGGTCGGAAGCACCTGAACAACGATAAAAGCAGCGAGCGTGACCCATGCGTGCAGTCCAGGAAATGTTTGCCAGGCGGAGCAAGCAAACAGCAGGCTCCGATCTTAGGTAGGATTTTTAATACTATTATTAGATAATTTGCGGAGACTGCACGCGCTTATAATCTCGCGAGATTGTGCCTTATAAAAAGGAGGCATTAAGGGTAGTTACACTGATTAGTGTATACCCTGGTCATACCTTGGGTGACAGGAAGCGGTAGTGATCGATTAGGTCGATAAATTTTGAACCTCGACCGCATCCTACACCCGTGCGGAGACAAAATGACTCTGTTGTCAGCCCAGATCGACATTTAGGCATTAGAGCTGACCTCCGTACAACACGAACGCTACTTGGCGGATCTAGAGCTGCGTAAGGATGGAAATGTCATCCAGCAGACGGCTAGGCTTGGGAGATGGTTGCTAGAAGAGTACACCGTCACAGATTTAGAAGAAACCACGCGCAGTAAAGAGAGTGGTGGAGCGCAGGAGGCGCACCCGATAAGCGTGGCTCGATACAATCTATGACGAGTTGGAAAATCTCAGCGTAGATGAGAACAGCGACCATCCCCTGAGGCTTATCAATAGGGATGAAATATCCTTGACAGATATGTCAAAGACAATCGCCAGCCCGGATGAGGACTCGGGAGGGGGGGGGTGAAGCCAGCCGCCAAGAAGAGGATGAGATCATCAAGAAGGTCCTCTGCACCCAGAAACAGGAGGAAAGGAAGAGGAGACGGAGCAATCCGAAGCTCAGGTCGCAGGAATCCTGCACCCGGAAGGAACCTCGGGAAGAATTACACAGGCCGACAAAATTTAAAAAATGGAAAAACCCAGAAACCAGACAGTACGTTCCCGAACGTTTTTGGTGCGCTGAAACCGAATCTGACCTCAGAATTGCTTCATCACTCTAGGTTTTCGAGAAATCCTAACCTAAAAGTTCAAAAAACACGATTTTTCACTATATTTCGCGTAGTATTACGTCGTAAGCCAATTTTATTTTAAAAAACGAGTAATGCTATCTCAAAGTACTACTCTTACCCTTCAAAACCCTTTTTTTAGATTTAAAAAATCTTTTTTTTCCATCGAGATATAGTAAATTGAATTTGAGTGATTTAGCGATTTCGTTACAGCACGAAATAGTGGCGAATTTCCTAATAAGGAGTTATAGTGTATTTATATGTTTTTTGGGTCACTGAATCCAAATTTAACGTCAGAATAACTCTATAATCTCTATTCCCTTAACCCTAGAGCCCCATAAGCTGCGACGCTGTAACCCCTGACCGACATACTCCAAAGTCCTTAACTCTCAAGCCCTTGAACCTGCTGCGGTATAACCCCCGACCCTCACACCCCAATTTCCTTAACCCTCGAGCCTTTAACCTGCGAAGCTATAACCCCCGGCCCTATCGAGGGTTAAAGAAATTCGGGTTTGGTGGATGGGGAATACCGCTGGGTCAATGGAACAACGATAGACGTCATTTCTGCGGTAAAAGAAGGTAGAAGAATTTGTGTCTGTGATAGGAAAATTCATATCCAACTTACGTATACAAGTACTATTTACGTTTACATACATGTGTCTATAACTTGCGAAATCGATCAGCTAGGATTTTTAATCTTACATTTGTCTGGTCTACTAACGATGAAGAAAGTATCTACGTTAGCAGATATCGGATTCACTTAGGGCCTACATTTCCTTACTTGAGGATAACCGTGTATGACATTGCTCAAAAACTATAAATTTTTGTGCTTCGTTCTTCATCCGTGTTAGGGATCGTGTTTGAGCGGCAGGCTAACGGATAAGTCACTGGAATTGAATTTTTGGTATTATTTCTCGTACAACACTGCGTGCAGTACTTTCATTGATTTTTATTATAACTTCATTTTTCAGAAATTTTATCATTACCCCATTCCGGTATTAGAATAAGTTTATAATATTATTCGTATTTTAACACTGCTCGAAAACTCCAAGTTTTTGTGTTCTACTCTTCATCCGTGTTAGAGATCGTGTTTGAGCGGCAGGCTAACAGAGAAGTCACTAGAATTAAATACTTTCTATTATTTCTCATATAACACTGCGTGCAGTACTTTTACTGATCTTTATTATTACTTTGTCTTCTAGAAATTTAATTATATTTACCCATTTCGTTATTAGAATAAGTTTATAATATTACTCGTGATTTCCAATTAACTTATAAGTTATTGAAGATGTCGGCATGTAGAATTCCATGCAAAGGAAAAATCGATTCCTTTTGTAATATCTGCGGTAAATTTGAGGTAGCTCGACTTCGTCGATCAATCACTCATATTATTAAAGATCAGTTTGAAGAATGTTACGAGACACCTATGAAGAATTTAGACAAACAATGGGTTCCTAAATATATTTGTGAAGACTGTCGCCGAAGTTTGAAAAACTGGAATAAAACTAAAACCGAAGTTGTTCTCCAACCAACAATATGGCGTGAATCTAAAAATCACTATGATAACTGTTACTTTTGTAAATGTGATACTTTAGGTTTTAATCATAATAACAAAGCTTCTCTCCTTTATCCGAACGTTTCTAGTGTAACAGCAGCTCAGTATGGAAAAATAGAAAGAAAAAAAAAATTTTGATTCTGAGCCAAAAAAATTTCAACCAATAGAAGTTCCGGTAACAGACAAAAGCAGCAGTAGTGATGAAGAAGATTTTTCTGACTCAGAAAAGCTCAAACTTTTCGACCAAAATTCTTTGGATGATCTGATCCGTGATTTGAATCTTCCGAAAGATTCTTCAGAACTCTTAGCTTCAAGACTAAAAGAAAGAAATCTTTCATTACCTGAGACAAAAGTTTCTATTTACAGGAAGAATGATATTAAATTTCGGCCATATTTTACTTGCGTGGATAACCTTGTTTACTGCAACGATATAAAGCATCTCATCAGTTTATATGGAGTGCAAGGAGGTTATAATCCAGAGAACTAGCGACTCTTCATGAATGCATCTGTACAAAGTCTC